GTACATAGTATAACCTTTCTTCAGCCGCATATGGTGCAAGGTGTATGTGTCGATGTTGTTTGAGACGCCCATGGCTGCTTGTATGATTGCATGTCTGTATTTGAGCCATGATTATCTAAAGGCGCAGTATCGCAGCGCATAACTTGCGGCTGAAAGATTGCTTATGCCATTCCCACTGTTCAACAAGCTTTTCTTGCCCATCACTACAAGCCATTACCATCTACTGTGGTCGGTATATCACTTTCAGCGGAAGACAAGCCGCCGGTACCTGCGTCTCACCGGCTTACCCCAGATCTAGTCCCACAATTATGAGTGGGATTGTCCCTCATGACTTTGTGGAGCCGTCAGCCTCTGGGCCATCTGCAGCCAAAAGCCAAAGAAGAGTCAAAGACTAATACTTATAAGACCTATACTAATTGTAGAAACATAGATGCCGATATCAATTGAATTGGCACTGGAAAGGAAGGTCAGCCCCATGCCAAAGAGTTATTTTACATAAAGGACGGTGGTAATTCAGTCTGTACCATCGAGAATCGATAGTCGAAGTTTACGAATCTATATGCAAGGACCTTGCACTTCAGCATCAGTATTAGTGTTTATGGAAATCCAATGGTGTTCCTATAAAAGACTCAGAGGCACTGGAGCACATGACATGACCCCTCTTTGCTTTGGGAGGCCAGAGGAGGGAGATCAGGGGGTGAATTCAATTCCACTCATTGATTGAGAGAGATGACACAGAGAGCAACATTATGATGGAATTGAACAGGTACTCTCCGCATCTGTTTCATTCAACTGATGTCTCACTTGAAATCAGACAGTTTCCCTACCAGTCTACTTAGTTCTTTTGCAAATGGAATGCTCAAAGCTGCCCCCCGCAGTAGGTACCTAGTAGTTGGTTGTAATGTGAGGTGCTTTAAGCTATAAGGTACCTACTACATTAGTACCTAGCACGTTAAACTGCTTGGGAGGTGTTGGACCAGAGAGTTTGGCCAGCGGCTGCTTGCGCATGGTCACGCGATGGGCGGTCGGGATGGGACATGCGGGGTCCACTTATTAGTATTCACCAGCACAGCAGATGAGCCGGAGGTGGAGATGTGGGTCCTTGCACTGGGTGAATATGCAGGCCTGGTCTTTCCATGATGGACCATGATGAGGCAAGGTCAGTCAAGTCAGTCCATGAGCTGGCCCCCTCCGCTTCTCGTCTTTGCTCTCCGTAACTCGCAATTGTCCAATTGAAACCCTGCCGTCCGTTGGGAAGCTGCCATGGCTTCCCCCCGGTGTAAAATGAGGCTGGGTAGGCGGGAAGGAGCATCGGACTGCAATGAGCTGATTGGATACAAGGTGATGCCATCACGCATCGTCCCTCGCGTGACTCTCGGGATATAAAGGCAAGACCCCTTCACAAACAAGCAGGTTCATTGATCACAGATAAATTCTCTTGCTTCACGCCGCCTTGAATTATCAGTTCTACACACTGAAGATCCTGCTATCATAACCCTTCCCCCCCTTTCTCTTACGCGATATTTCACTTACAAACAAGCAACCATCCCCTCATCAAACTCACCTGAGTCCTTGACAACCTACCTACTCCGAGATCCAACACCACCCCTTTCAATATCACGCCAACTTGCCCATCAACTCGACCGCGTGCTATCGAATCGCCTGGTTGCAGTTCTAAAACATCTCCATTATTCAAAAGTGAGTTTCTCGAACCCTTCAGAATCTTGTCGTTTCTCGCCTACTCTTCCTGCTTCCCCCTTCCTCCGTATAGCGACTTATATACACGGAGTACTTGGGCACCCCGCACCTGGCGTAGCTTAGGTAGACTCCAGAGGCATGGATGCTCATGTTCACTGGCGAGTGCCGCTGGTGACGTTTAGGCCGTCCAATCCGTTTAAAAGCAGATGAGCTCCCCTTCCAATTCTCGCGTACCTCAACCCCTCCTTCCATCATTCATCATCCTGATCATCATTTTACATCTTTCATCTCGCCATACCATCACAATCTCACCTCTTCTTCATAGTACCTTCACATAAAATCCAAAAGTCAGCCTATGACCACTTCCTTGTCATGCTATGGTACTAACAGGTACTGCTCACAGTGACCCGATCTCACAAGGCCAACGACCGTGATCACAAGGGTATTGCCGAGGGAACCGCGCTCCCCACGGAAAATGTCCCTCGTTTCTTTGGTAAAAACGGGTTCGCCGATGTCGACCCAAAGAAGGTGAAGAAAGACGGCTCTGGTCGAGGCAACTGGTATGTTAGCTCAATGCACCCCCCATGTTGCCGTCTCCACATTTCACTTACACGGCTTACAGGGGAACCGTCAACGACGACATCGCTGACGAACAATTCACCTTCACAAACACTAGACGCCGCTCCAACAGCAGCAGCTTCTCTCACCACGTGAGCGACCTCAAGACCAAGTTTGAGGTCAACGAGCCCGAGCCGGTCTTCGAGGAGTCACTTCACGGCCCTGAGGAAGAAGACCACGAGGATCTCTCGAAGACCGACTCTTCCGAGAGCGGTCGGTCCTCATCCTAATCAGATTACCGAGTCCTTACCAAGAGATTGGTAGTCACTGCCTGCTGTCATACATGCTAGCCAGGGCATCTTTGAGGGTTCATATGTATTGGAATTGCGACGCGAGCTTGATCTTTGCTTTACAACTACGAAACGACACGAGATTAAACGAATGAAATAACAGAAACCAAACTGCCTCCTTGTGGTGGAGTCACTGGATGAAATGCCTGGGGGATATGGAAAGGGATATCGGCGGAATTGTTGAAACCCTCGTGACTTACTCAGATCTCTACGTGGATCATGCATGGTTTTATAGCCGCCTGCGAAAGTACGCCTTGCAGCGGAACAATGTATTACTGTATAACTATCTTAACTTTCGCACCAAAGCGAACAAGAAGGCTGCTTATGGCCGAAATTAGGCACAGCTAATATTATCAGATGCCTTTTCAATTTGAACAGTCTGAGTGACGGAAAAGAAGTTGATCACGCGGACAATTCGTACATCAAACAATCTTGAATTAACAAGCTCTTATTTTATCAATGAGCCCTTAAATCCCCAAAATTGATTATGCAGTGCCGGTCACTACTTTGTTCATCGATTATCAAGTTTATGGCAATGCCATGAAAGCACAACACCCAGTGCCGCTTACAACATATCTAGCACTGGGAGCAGCCGTTTTGCGCTCGAGCGTGCTGAGTTTTACGCAGGGTCAAGTTCTGGTACAGCTCGCTGGCTTCGATGTTTATTAGGACGAGATACTGGATAGTGGGAGTACTAATTATCCTCCTTCATTATGGCTGTAAATATCAAGAAAGCCTCGAAATTAGGAATGGCTGGGGTTTTTATCCTGCATGTGTTTGTAACATAGGTATTCGGCTTGGTGGCATTGACGTCGTTGTCCCTATATCTGCTGCACTTTACTTACCGTTCTTGAGTGGAGTGCAACTCCGTCACCATCCTGATTCAGCATTAAAACCAATAACACGCTATCCCCGCATGTTGCACTATTAACTTCAGCCACCAAGGCTGCTCGAACAGACCGGATAAGGCTACTTCATGGCCCGTGCTTACGCTCTTGCTCATAATTTTGCGAAAGCTTGTGGCTGCAAGGCTGTGATCGCAATCGTATCTCAGATATCTATCTATCTGCCTGTACAAAATCACGATTTCCGCTCAAAGCTAGATACTGCTCCTGAGTCAGAAAGAACCAGAGAAAAAAAATCATATGTACAAACCGTTATCGTCTTCTCAATTGTTTCAACACCTCCAGTCGGCCTGGGTTGACGAAGCGCACCGCGACACATAACTCAAGATGCCCATTCCTCCAGCGTACCACGAATCCCTCCCTTGTAAGTGCCATGCTCTCCAAGTCTCCCTTACTCATTCCCTTGCTGACTAGCCTCTAGATGTTGACCAGGAACCAGCCCCGGAAGCTCTGGCCGCAGCCCGTGACCTTATCGCTGCCGAAGCATCTTCTCAACATCCCCTGCCGACTTCTAATCCAGAACCCTCCTTCACGCCCGCCATGATAGCCGAGCTTGAGCGCGTCTCTCAATCCACGCCACTTGCGCCGCTCGATTTAAGCCGTTACGAGGCTCCTTCTCCCAGCGCCCCTCCAGCGACCGCCCTGCCTGCTGCCGCTATCGCACATAGCTACCTCTCCTCACGTCTCACAAACCTCGAGCTTCTGGAGAAGTGGGGAAAGAACGCTTGGCTCTTAGGGAATCATGGACTCGAGGCTGAGCTCCAGGCATTGGAGCGTGAACTCGCAGCTGTTAAGCGTGAAATCGATATCGTGAACCTAGAGAGGCAGAAGAGGCAGAACGCTGTAGGGGCTGAGATCAAGACACTGGATGATACCTGGCGCACTGGCGTCGGCCGGGTGCTAGAAACTGAAGTTGCGGTTGAAGAACTTCGGAGGAAGATCCGGGAGGAGCTCGCGAGAAGGGCCACAGACGGTCAGGGGCAGTAACTAAGGTAGTACGCTTACCATGGAATATGTAGAAGCGGTCCCATCGGGTTGTAGGATTTTCCTCACCAACTCCGGCGTTTTGATACCAACATTGTCTTTACAATAGTCTTTTAAGGAAGCCACACAGACTAAAGTCTCACGGGTTTCCTCTAATTTAACAGATTGCTCGTCAATGGTTACTTCCAACCTCAGTCTCGTTTCATTCTACTGCTCATGGTGTGGAGAGATACAGCATAATGATATTGATATCAACCAAGGTCTCTGATCACTAGCAATACTTGTCTCAGGGAAGCGAAGGTGGTAGAAAACCTCACAAAACGCCTTGTCAAAGTCAAGTCCTCCGTCGTTCATTTCTCAACCCAACCGTAGGCGCATCGCCATCAATGTTTACACCCAACCAGCACGAAGCAAACCCAATAGCACTACTAAGACCAGTGGCGGGGATTCCCGGCGTGTCCAACGAACCTCAATTTCATGCTTTCACATATCTTCCCTTTTTAACTTAGCCGGTGTGGAGAGGATCCATCTCTTCGACACCGGTTGCAACACCCTGATACTTGGTCCTTCGTAAGATGCCCTCTACAGGACCCAGAAGTCGCTGGAAAGCGTTCTTGCCCAGGCTGCCAACCTTGACTGGAGACGTAGCAACGATACTAGCTGCTCGCGGGGCGTCATTAAGCAGGGCAAGCTCGCCGAAGTAATCGCCTTTCTTGTAATGGCGAACCTTGTTGTCAGGCTGTCCAATGTAAGCATCTGCTTCGCCACTCTCCAGAAGGTAGAATGCGTGGCCGGGGTCTCCTTCGTTGATAATGACCTCGCCTGCCGCAAATTTCTTTGTTTCAAGGGCATCGGCAATTTTGGAGCGCTCGTATGGGTTCAAACTTGCAAGAAGTGGAACTTCCTCAAGGAAGCTCTCATACATGCGCCTCCGAGCGAAGGTCGACTCCATAAGAATACGGCGGAAGGTAACACGATCGAGTGCCCATACAGTGCAACCGGACTCAGCTGAGACAACCGTCGCAGCTCGAGGTGCATTGTACATCAGTGCCAGTTCTCCGAACGAACCACCAGCCTGGATGTTGCCGACTTGGTTACCCATGCCATCCGGACCGGGTTGAAGCGACCCGGTAGGATTGACATATACGTCAAAAGATCCCTTCTCGACGACATAAAAATAATCCCCCGCATCACCCTGGCTAATAACCTACGACATCTTGTCAACATTTCGTTTTAACGTCGTGTATATACCACTCACCTTGATACCTTTAGCTGGTATCGGCTTTTCAACAAGAGCACCCAGAATCTGGGCGCTCTGTTCATCCTCGAGATGGCTGAAAAGGAAGTTTCCTTCAATAGCACGTTTAAGACGCTCAAGCTGGTCCGCAGACTTCTCGTGAAAAGGCGGCGACCAATTGTCATAGGAATCAGCACTTGGCTTCAGAGATTCGGCAGAGACTGATGTTCGGCGACCAAAATTGTACTGAGCAGGGTAGCTATCAGGGTTTGGGAGGTTACGCGAAGGAGGTGCCTCAGATGAAGAGTCCCCTCCAAAGCCACCACCGAAAGGGCCAGAGAACATGGAAGCGGAGTTTGGCGAAGCCCCAAATCGAGGGTTTGTAGGAGATGTGATGGTATCGTTCTCATCTTCTTCGGCAACAGCATGGATTGCGTTGTTCGTCCTCTTTCCCCTGTCTGTCCCAAAAGGGTTGCTGTTCTCCCCAAAGGGGCTGGAAAAGGGCCCAGACATGATTTAGAGTTGGAACAAAGTTGGTTTCTCCAGATGTGTTATGAAGGTATCGACAAATAGCCAGAGAATCGATGCCTGCGAGTATTGAAGGTCAACGCAGGTGAGGGGTATCGCGGGGCGAATGAGGAGAGGTTACTCGTCGTCAATTGTCTATTTACGGGTTTCGTTAGCTTCAGAGTTTTGAAAATGTTTGCCATAGAAAACACATCGAGTAATGGGCGGAGGTCGTCAAAGATCAATGATTGGAACCAAGAGCGACAAGGGATGTGCGAAGGAAATGAAGAGATAATAGTAAGTGGCAACGTGGTGCTGCACAGGAATGATGCTCTGACTTACAGCTACTGAGGCGCTCTTATGGCCAACTCAACAAATGGACAGGCTTATAGGAGTGTCAGAGAGAGCTGCAGCTGAAGCTTGGAACGAACATCGATGGCATCTGGACGACAAGGGATGTGCAGTACAGGAAAAGTCCCGGGGGCGATGCGCTAGAGGTGAAGCTGGACGTGGGCTGCAATCCACGCTTGTAAAGTGACGTGTTGTGGCGGGGCCTAGATCAAGACCCTGGTGCATAGCCCATGCACAGATCAAAGAAATGAATCTATGGAGTGCAAGGTGAAGGGGATGGTGAAACGTTGAAAGGAACTCGAATTGGGGGATGGGTGGAACAGCAAAGCTTGGGTATCGATCAATATGTGCAGAGCCGGCCATCCTCAACGATTTCTCGTTGAATGGAGTACCCAGACAGCTCTAAGCGCACGGCTCTTGCAACCAAACTTCCATTGCAGGCGGCAAAAGGTAGGACAGGAAGAAACAGGCTTATCACTCACGCTGAATCCTGGTAACTAGACCCTTAGACCTGAGATATGATCAAGCAGGATGACAATATCCTGTAGGGCTCTATAGATCAGGGGGGGTCCAGGCGCGGTACAAGGGTACAATTCTCGATATGATACAAGATCGGAGAAAATCAAAAGACGACAGGAATCTCGAGAATGAAGGTCGATGTCGAGCAGCTTTGGAGATCCACGATGCCGTAATGTTGAGAGGAATGATGAAGGGGCCGGGAAGAGTTGATGAGCAAGGTGAGTGGGGTTCTGTTGCTCCAATCCCCGCCTCGTCGTCAAGGAGACTGATGGCGATGGAGAAAGTTGAAGATACAAAGGATGAAGAAGAGCCTAGCAGATGCGGGTGCGAGAAATCGAGATACGAAAGGAACGGCAACGTGAGGCAGGATGAGCGAGTTCAGGAAATGATGAATAAAGTCAGGTGGATAAGGGAAGACAACAGATGAGTTATTGTCTCCTGTAGGTCGTAGCGTGGGCATGTAAAGTAAGGTACTCCCTTAGCTTAGTACTGCCTAGTAAGGTCTACTAAGGCTTGCGGCTGGTAAGGTAGAGCAGATAGATCCCAGCATAGAGAGAAGGAGCTTCTCTGGTCAAACCCAAAGACCTAACCAACGGAATGGGGAGAAGTGGAGCTGATTGGGAGCTGGGAGATGCTTGCCGTCAGGGAAGCTTTCTAGAAGGTTGTGCACGGGCCTGTTAAGGGCTTGGGCTTCTCGGGCGCTTGTTCTACAGACATTTCTGCTGCTCTTCGGTGCAGCTCCCGAACTGGGAAGAATCCAAGCTTCCTGCTTGAATGAAAGGATTGGATGGACTGGAGATTTTCCTACTGTGCGTGCCGAGTCTTTACCTATAGACCATTAAGGCATCGCCCAGAATATTTTTCTTGGTGTGGATCTGCAGGTGACTGATTTTATCCATCATTGGATGCTTTCCCTCTTCTTGACATCTTGATGATCGACAAGCCTGCCTGCCTGCCCAACATAGATAGGAACCAATCGAACAGACGAAACACATAACTAACGCAAATCCAGAATGTCTTTCTCCAATACTAATAGAAAATAATGATTTATGTTGGCCTATGTCGGTGCTCGTATTATGATGGTTTTTGAGACCGGATGGCTGCGCCAGGTCATATTTGTTTTCTCTCTCTCTCCTTTTCTCTTTCTCTTGTGGTTTCCTGGCTTTGGTGTTAGTTAGCAAGGCTTCTGAGCTGACGCCTTCATTTCCCGAAAGCAGAATCACCTAAAACAACAAAGGGGCTAAGGAACTTGGAGCCCCGCTGCATTCATCTCTCTGGCATGCAATAAAGATGATTGTTCTTCGCTAGTACTTGGCCACCAAACAGTCCCGACATTTCTTGTTCCCATCCAAAGTGGGCTGCAAACATGATGAGGCCAATTCATTGATCAAAGCGTCAAGTTGGCTCTGGCAGTTCGTTAAATGGTGAATTTCCCGACAAAGCTCTCTCATTCCAATGAGCTCGGTAGCAAGGATTCCAACTAACATGTCACGACACTTATCTTCTTTTCCTTCCACAATTGTTCATTCATTCTATTCGCTTGTCTTGTTGTGGTAATGACTTCTTCATAAACCAATTGACAACAATCTCTCATATCTCATGTAAAGGGAATCAATAACTTGATTCGATTCCAATCCCTTTTGGCCAGCCATAAGAAGGCCACCAGCTACTATCCTAACCTAACATGACGAAATCAGTGGCTTTTAAACCATCATGGGTAGGTACTTAGCGGTTTCTTCTTTACTCTCATCGAGCTACCCGGGTATCGTTCCTGTAATGATAAAAGTACAAAAATCCCACCGTCTCCCCTACGTCTCCATTACTCCAATCCGCAGCAAGTTTTTGTTGCCTCTTGATAGCATGCTGTATTGGGGTGACTTTCAACCCTACAGAGCGATAGAAATACATACAACATGAACACCATGAAAACGAGTCTTCCACGACCGCAACCCAAATGAAGAAGCAAAAATGAGTTAAGCCAAAAACCCCTGCGCCAAAGATAAAGCCGTCCGATTATATGCATTCGTCTGAACCTTGATTCTGACCTGTTGTACTGAATCACGACTCTCTTCGTCAAACGCCAGCTCCTTGCACGCCTTGTTTGCCTTACCCGTACTTTCTTATTATCATGTTCCTTTCTCTCTTGGTTGTAACGCCAGCCTGCGCTTTTCACAGCCATGCGATGACGCTTCGGTTATATATGCGAAACCGGCTAGATGAGTTGGGCCCCTTTTGCTTCTGGTATCGATGCTGTCCACCTTGTTGTATGTAGATGAGCTGGACTCAACATGGATGCAACGTTTGGCGTTGTCCACTGTCCACCTCCACGTTAGTTAAGTCGAGATTTTCAACTTCGTCAGACAAGTCTCAGGACCCTGCCGCAAGGCATGAGTCCAATATGCCATCCAGCATATCAGCATCCTGACTTTCCGCACCTTCCCACCATGCTTCCGTGTCTATATCCATGGCATCAGGGTAACCATTCGCAAGCTCAAAAACATGTCCTCCGTTTGCCTCTGAATCATGTTTCTCGTCTGTGTAGGCTTCAGGTGGCTGATCACACACCCAGGTATAGTCATCCCAATTCTCCAGCTCCCCTTCCCGATATCCATATATAACCTGTGTCATTAGCACAGGGAACTGTGCCATGCCTGTGTCCGCCATCTCTAAGGACAGGCGAAGATCGGACATCCCCAAGGGGCCTCTTTCACTCGCAGCCCTGGACTCAATGGGCAAAAGCCCGCTCTTGTCTCTGGAGATTTCGCCTCGCATCGCAGCTTCTTCTTCGTATTCCAGCTGTCGCTTGTACTTGTGCGTTTGAATCCATGTCGTCCCGACGCCAAACCCAGCACTACCTGATTCACCAGGTCCATTACTCCGCGTGCGGCTGAAGACCTGTGTAAGGACCTCCTTGATAAAGGTTTCCACAGCTACCGACAGAAATTGGGGAGCATCCACTGTGTGTCCATTGACCAGTCCTGCCTCGTAGCAAGAGGGTAGCATTCGGCCGGAGATCATATTGATATCAGGAAACTCGCCTGATTCGACCGCCAAAGGTTGAGCATAACGTTTTCGAATTTCTAAATCGAAATCTTGCACTTTGTTAAAGCTTTACCACAGTAAATGCGTTTCGATAGAATACATACTCATGTTGTTTATGCCTCCTACAGTCGGGGTGGCATCCGTCACTGTCGAAAGTTTGCGACGTGTGTCTGCAAAGATGTTGGATATGCTCTCATGAGGATCCCACTTATTACTGGTCAGCAGTTGGATAGGAGGCGGCTTGGAGACACTGACATCGTTCTGGACCAAATCTTTGATGCGCCTGCGGTCTCGGGTTGGCAGTTGCATCACATCTCCCTTCAACCTCCGCTCCGTGGCATCCCCGGACACTGGCTTGATCCCTGTCGTCGCCGCAGGCTTATCGTTGGCGCTGACCCACGGGGCCAGGCCTTGATCGGGCATCTCTCGAGTAACATTTCCGTATATAGCTGCAATGAGATTATTGTGTAGGTGTTCCTTGTCCCCTGGGCCTGCGAGGATAGGGTCAATTCGTTCAGAATATTCGGTCTGATTTAAGCGCCCTAAATATATGTGAGTAATTGCGTATGTGAACTTGATAGATGTTGTCGCATCTACCTATCAGGAACTCGGTCGTTGATTCTTTATATATTGCCCATTTCTCGTTGCCAATGGCGGCCTTGAGCGCAGTATATAGCGGTTCGAGATCAATTCGGGCGGGAATGATTTGACTTGACTTTGCTATCTTTGGCGCACCAGAGATAGACCCAGCAAGTGTCTTGTTGGATAAAATCGGCGTTGAGAGGCTGACGGATGGACGGCTCAAAGCCGCGGGGTCGATGTCTGGCATCTTGATAGGAGTTGAATAAGCGACAGCGTCGCGTGCGACAAAATAGCGCGGCGCGGCGCGATAAAAAGACACATGAGTTGGATAAAATGAACGGGGGCTTTGATGCGATCACTATGGTGACATTAAGCTGATGAAAAAGGCATGTTGCGTCGTATAAGTTGATGGGCGACTCGTTCTACTGTTGACGTGAGGTTAAAGGTGAATGAAGGGTTTCGAGTGTAGTTGGTTTTTTGCCGCGAGCACACCCAGCTTAGGAATACATCAG